TCTGCTGAGCGGTGCGAGTACATGCTCAAAAGAAGCACTTGTCCTACATGACGCACCTGGAGGCAATGTCTGCGTCAGTGGCTGTGGAGCTGCATTTGAAATCCAAAACAAAGAACACACATACTATAACTGTTACTCGGCGTGTATCTGTGCGGCTCCGCCTAGGAAAAGAACTGGTGGAAGGACTCTGCATAGTTCCTTGGCAGCTGGGACGTTGAGCTGAGCGCGCTGCCAGGCCTCCCGCTAGCAGAGGGAGGCTCAACCAATTGCTCTGCAAGTTATACCATTCATCCAAAACGTGTGGCGAAACATAAGCCGCCCACACGCAAACAGTGTCCAACGGTCTTGCAGGTCGGTCAAGCACTGGTCTACACATCCCGTGAGCCTCATCAGACGGTATGGGCACTCATGGTCAGCAGCAAAACGTGCAGCCGCTGCCTTAAGCTCATTCATCGCGTCAAGCATCTTTGCCCACTGCCCAGTGGTGCAAGCGAGCAGGAGAGATAGATAAGATACAGGCATGCCCCGAAACAACAGCCGGAGCAGTACGGGGGCAGGACAGGAAGCACGCCACCACGATAGAAAGTCAACGGCCCGCTTGCAGTCCTTTCCAAACTACTCCGCTCACACATACTTGCACTGGCACCCTAGTGCTTGACCGGTATGAAGAAAATCCTCTAGACATTACCATCCACCACGACCCAGCCACAGCTTTTTTAAGCACTATCATCGATAGTGTGGATACTGTTTCACATAAAACCGCGTCCAACCATGAACACCGTACCCACTTGCTTGCAGCTGATGAGGGCGGACTGCGAGCTCGCGCACACCTGCCCTCCTCCGCCGCGTGCAGGTGGCTTCTCATAGGGGTACATTCATCGCATTCACGAAAAAAACATCTAGTACGCCCAGCTACGCAAGAATAGAACGATGCTGAACAATATGCACCACACCCCTAGTAAGGGCGATGCGGTTCCACCACTGCAGTGAATGCAAACGCCGGCAACACACACTGCTTCTGTAGTTTGTTTTGTGCATATCTGGCGGCGTGAAAAAAGGCTCTGTTTGTAGATATTGCTAAACGTTATGCGCAACAGTGAGACAGAATCGTCTTTTTATTTTAGCGGAATATCCTCTATAATCAACGCCACCCTGTTAAAAGCTTATTATGCACGACGAGGCTTATTGCCAAGCGGGCACTCGCTCAGCAAATATGTTAACTGTGCTACACCCACGCAAAAAAAGCCTCTTGTGCCTAAGTAGTCTTTCAGCTGCGAGCAAAAAGCACAGAAATGACACGCACACCTGCTTCATTCATTAGATTGCATCGCTGTCCCTGTCCTTACATGCCCCATGGCAAGCATATCGTCGGCTCAAGAGCTGTCTGCCGTGCACCCTACAAAAGACGCATATGCACCCTCTAACCGCTAGCGCATATAAGGAGATGCACGACAGAACGGGAGCTTCCAATTTCGCATTAGAAAGTTGGAGTGAAGACCGGATCACACTATCTACAGTGCCGCTTTTATGTGGGAATCTACGCACCTGGTCCCATACCGCGGTCCCCTGCAGGCAAAACCACAAAGGCACGGCACAGGACAGCCTCAGGATGGATGAGACGTTCGCGTTCTCTTCCACGCGGGTCTCCACATGCGCTGCTACACTGCTATCGAGCCGTGCGTCAACGCATAGGTCTGCATGCAGCTGGATGGCAACAGTTAATCAGAAAATCACTTCAGCAATCAGAGTTCCATCATCGACTACTCCAGTACTAACTTCGGGACCGTGCGCTATTCACTGACCTAAAGGGAAATTTGAGTGCTATCTAACTCCACTTACCACGCGAACCCGCGCCGAACGAGCTGGTTAATTGCCTAGTCCCTGCAAGCACAAGGAGGAAGAGGATGGATCCAGCAGCGTTGCAGGTGGCACCAACACGAGATGCACCTCCAATCCACATCCACTTGCAAGGTTGAAGTAACGCCGCTTAGTGTATCCGTTAGAGGAGGACCTGGCAGTGCTAAAACGTGGGTATCCAGGGCTAGTAATTTCTTTAGAGGAAAGGAGGCGAACACAGTGTTTAACGCATCTATGGCCCTGACAAACGATTGTGGTACTAGCTGAGATGGGCACAAATGCTAGGTACCACGCATATGAGTTGGAATGCGCGTCGATTTGCAAAGAATAACTCACCTAACACAATTCCTGGTCGTCGTAAAGTACCTGCAAGTCAGACAGCAACACACCAGGCTCGCTTAGTGCAGTCACGCGCCACAATTTCTGGTCTTCATCGTCAGCCTGCACTGCCCCAAGGTTTTCTAGGGCTGGTGGTTCAGCTTTTCAGAAAAGCTGCTAACGCCAGGCTAGGCAACATCACAACGAAGGTGTTTTCTCTGGCATAAAGCGCTCCTGCCATAATTTATGCTGCAAGCGTCGGCTTTGCTGGTGCACCTGCCATCTGCAGGCACGAGCGCCACTGCACTCATAGGCAGACTGCCAGCGAGCTGATTAGGCAGATCGACCAGCGTGCTGAGCCTCTCAAATGCGCTTTTACACACTTCTTCGTATCAGCGAATGCCGTGATTGCCCGACCTACTCTACCGCTACAGAGGTACGCCTACGCCAGTGCCCCAAAACAATTTCAGCAGACACGCCGGTGCAACCACCATCTTGCATGAGGCAACAACACGCCCGACAAAAAATGCAAGGCCGGTTATGATGTAAAATAATGGATGCAAGTGAGTAATTTTGGACTTACTCGCGCCTGTGCTCGAGGATGTCTGTGGGGCCCGACCACCTGCAACGACACACAGCATCGTAGCAGTAGCAGCCTGAAGCACCCATCATGTGTACTCCCCGTTATTCTAGCAACTAGGTGGCACGATTCGACGCCGCACACATCCAAACTGGATAATCTAGGCCATTCCAAGCAACAATGAGCCATTTTAGCCTTCATGGGCGCCTGTAGAGCTGGCACAAGTTAATTTCGTGCGAAAAGCCTAAAGGCAATGCTTCAGCCATAACAATTCGACGAAAACTGCAAATGCGTATTGATTTGGTGAATCCACCATACCTGCCAGGCTCGATACGGAGGGTCTCCGTATCTGAAGACTACCTACAGAAAACGAACGCACTCAAACGCGCCTGCAGCAGCTCATGAGGAGATCCCAGCTGACCAAGTTACGCTCATGTGCATCCGCATGCAGGTTAGACAGCAGGGCACTTATCAACTTGACAGCGAAAAGAAGTGAGGCGTAAGACAGAGCAAAGGGTTTTCCCACATTCCTATAGGGTTTCCTGACTGCACGGCCACGAACAATTTCACGAGTCCTTTGGCAAATAGGCATATGATTGTAGAATACGTCACAATGGAAACATATGACGCCAGCTACACCCAGCCTCATAATATAAAACTCCACTTTACAGACGCAGACGTATCAAATAACTTACCGAAATCAGGGATCGGAGCCTGAAAGAGCGAGCCTGCAGACAAGTCAAGACACCAAGCATACACAATCAGAGCCGTCACTTCGCAAAACCAGTAGGCGTGGCCCAGAGTAGAAGCCCGTATTTGGATTACACACGTTTGTAGGTTTTGCAGGAGCATGGCTGCTTTGCCGCGGAGGGCGCCGCTGTCGACTTGATGCTAGTGTGCTGCCTTTCACTGCTGCCTGTAAAGCTGGTGTACAGGTAAGTATACTAACATCGACGCACGCGTGTCAGAAACTTGCGATACCGATGTGGCCGATGTGTACGCTGCAAAGAGGGAGCCCCCAAACGTTCGTCGTTAAAGAACACGAGGAAGTAAACGCTCCCCTATCGATGAGGGGCACTTTTGCGCGACGCCCAAATGCCTATATTTATATGCACTTCCATCCCCTCGCTCACCTGACGAAGCTATGCTTCTTTGAGAACTCCTCCAAGTTGGATATAGGGTACCTGCAAGGCACAAATGTAGGCACCAGCTTCAAAGCTTAAGAGCAGCCGCCGTTATACGCAAGGCACCGAGTGGTTCGTAAGTGTCCAAGCTTGTGTCATCGGAAGAGTTACGCAAAAGCGCTTCGCCTCCACACTAAGATGCCAAATGTATCTGCCAACCTATTTCGAGGCGACCAAGAGGTCCAGGCACTGGCTAACCTGTCGGTGAACCTTCGGAGAAAACATCTTCATCCTCATCGCCTGAGCATTACATATAGGGGCCATGGCAAGAAGTTATCCACGTCTGGAGCCTGCCAAGCGCTAAGCTTGTGTCCTCCCGGTGCGTGGTTAGCATGGTTCCCAATTGGTTGATCATTAAAGTCTCTACAGAAATCCGCACCGTCTCCTGCAGGCTTCCACGACCTGCTGGCGGTAACATCCAACCCGGGAGCTCCTGAAAGCTTTCTACGCTGTTCACAGCAGACATCAACAAACACCGGCGTGGCACGAGCCCATGGGATGTTAAGGCAGCAAACGGCGGGCGCTCCAGTTCTGCACGACCGGGAGCATGGTACACTCATGTGAAACAAGGCGTGGCATTGCAGGCGCACCTCTCGTTCATTCAAGCAACGCATTTTTAAGACCGCTGACGCTTCTTTTCTTCCCTCTTTGACAGATACCTTCCAGTCTGCACCCCCAACAATGATGCAGATGAAGGATCGGAAACATACGGCAAAGACGCAGACACGCCCTCAGCAGGTTTTGCAAAAACCATTACGTGAGTGAGGCGCAAATGCTAACGATTCACAAGACAAACCTGCGTCTTTGCCGCAAAAGGCAGATGTCAAAATCAAGGTTTCTGCAGCGTTCCAGAGAGAAGTGAATTTTGCAGCAACCTCCTGTACAGACATAATGATGCCACCACGCGTAGTACTCGCAAACTAGTAGATCTTTGACCAAACGGAGGGTGCCACGCTTTCAGCATATGAGCCTTAATTCAATCTCGAAAGAAACTACGTGACCTTCGACGTAAGAGCAGCGCTTTTCCACTGCAGCTGCCCGTTCCTTGAAGCACACCTCGCGCAGTCGTCTGTCTTGCGGTGAAGAAGACCATCGAGAAACCTACATAACCACCACAGTAAGCCAGCAGCATTGCGGGGAAAAACTGGAGAACTCTCCAGATTGACGAAATATTAGAAGGACGGAGCATACATGGAAGCAATATTTGTGGGCAGGGACAGAAGTGTCTCCACACCCCAGGAGGAATATTTGCTATCGCATGGCCTAGCTACTACCCGATCACTTTGCTAGCCACCAGCCTGTTGAGAAAATCGGGACGTGTGCGTCTACGCGTGCTGCGCCAACTCACATGTTCCTTGTACTTAATTTTGAACATTACTGAGCCCATCAAGATTTTTGCACGCTTCTCTGCACAACGCACGCAATACGGCAAGGCGAAGCATTCTCGTCCCTGACTGACCCAGCAATGCCAATTCCATGCACCTCATCAGAACCATTGCGGAACACGATTGGCGTTTTGACTGTATCTGTTGAGAGACGGCGGGCTACGGCGTGCATTGGCAAACAGCACTGGTGGTCCTCGCCAAGATGCCAACACCGCTTTTCGTTAATTCCCATTGCTCCTTCTGCATTGCCTCTTTTTGGCTTCTCCTCCCCCTCCTACCTCTAGAATGCTTCAGAAAATTTGCTGCCCACTTGTGGACAAACGGCGGGTCGATTTCTAGCTGAGGACATCAGGCCATCATATTGCAGGAATAAAAGGGAGGAATGACGATGTAGAATGAGACGAATGAGTTCATAGTCCACATAGATCCCGCTACTGCATTAGGTGTCTCTACCCCGGGAGCTGAAATGGCAGATGACGCATGACGCACCTCTCTCCCCTGTGCAGCGCGAATGGTGAGCGTAATTGAAGCACTCAACGCGGCCTCAGGAATACTGACAATTCGCATTACCTCTGTGAACAAACAGACGTTCTATCTTACGATCAAGCCCCGGAAGTGAAAGACTGCGTTGAGACCCGTAATACGTATCCGTTACGCATGAATCACGCACTGTGGCACACTCGCCGTGTCCTAGCCTAATGAGACAAGCTGACTTGAGCAACTTACTCGCAGGCGAGCTTCTCGATATATGCGGAAGTTCGCTTTCCAAATAGTCGCGTGACGAATAAATGTCCGTAGCAAGGGCCTATGGAGCTCATTCGTCGTCGTCAGAAAAATAGGGAGTTGTCGCCTAGCAACTGTGCTCTAAACCCTAAAAATGGATCAATGAAGCCTACAGGCATGCAGCCTTTGTGGGGAAAAGTAACTCACCCTACGAAGTTCTCTCAAGCGCTCAGGCTGAACACACATAAATAGGTACAAGGCGAATACAATGCAGTTATGCAAAAACATAGTTGCGCGATAGAGGGACGTCACCGATGTTGGACACCTATTTCTGACTCACAGTGCGTGGTCCTTCACCCTGCACTTCAACGTTTGCCGTTGCTACAAAGTAGTCCACCTTGAATGCCAGATACTCGTCTGAAAAAGCGCGAATGCAGCGTCCTCACGAGAGTGCAACCAACGCCTCCGTCGCAGTGCCTAGTGGGAATCGCTATGTATGAAGTAGCCTGCTGTTCCCTTTAGTGCGTCTGCCACACCAGTGCTTGCCAAGTTGTTCAGTTTCAAAGGGGCGTCAAGCGCATTCGCTTTTTAAGCTGGTGTTGCTTACTTACCCGGGGACAAGATCAACCAGCCTTCCACTCTCCTAATCACACGTTCTACAGGAGTTTGCACCTACAAAGACGCATTGTGTCGCATACCAAGCAAATGATGCAAAGAACAAATGTGGGGAACCTGCTTCACCAATGGCAGTGGTGTGCTAGGATGAGGCTCATAAAAGTATTTTCTACATTTTTGGAGTGAAGCAGAACACTCCACCAACGTTTCCGCACTGTGTTTTGACGGCAAAACTCGCATGGATAAAGCGTATGAAGCGTATGAAGGTTTTGCTGTTACTTTGTGAGGCTTCAAGCCCTGCTGCCCTGCCTACCATTGGAAAGCATGATTCCGACTCCGCCTCGGGGGATTCTGGCTCTTCCGCCAGCCGTCTTACGGTTGCATTCTGCATTCCAGTGAAGCATTGTCTCACCAGGAATGCAACCGCCGCCAGAGACAGTGTTGTTGCCAGCGCAGCCCACAAGACACGCAGGGGCTTACCAGTGGGTTTCCCAAGGGCCGGTTTTTCTTTGCCATATTGCCCAGCGTCTGTATCGGAAGAAGCGCTCAAGGGGCTATTTCCCAAGTAACCAACCTGATCGGGCGTCTCATTCACATTCATCTTTGGAATAAGGGTGCTGCTCGTCACTGTCAACTCATCCCTTTGGTCCTCCAGCGCCGGCATCTTCTGGATTTCAGCAATGATGCCCTTTACTTCGGGAGCCTTGTGTACGTCAGTTGAATCCACTCCTCCCTTAGTCACAGCTCGACACCATGAGGACACTTTGCAAGACCGGTTTCTAGACCTGGTTGGGGAACAGGGTTCAGGAATTGCTTCAAAGTGTGATTATCCAGAGGGAAGCTTGACCAAAAGATAATGTTCCTCCTTTTGGTTTCGCGGTACCGCCACAGGACAGTGGGAAAACCTCCACAATGCCGAGGAATATTCCTCGTGTGGGTCCGCAGATATGGGCTCAAATATCACTGAAAACTGATGGCAACAAGAAAACCGAGGGGAGCGTGAACTCGCAGTCCTCTTCCTCCTCCCGCAGGCGGCGATTAAAAAGTATGGCTTTGCTAGGTGCCAAAAATAATCATTCGCATGAAGATTAACTATAGTTGGAGGGAATTGCTCGATGCCTCCAAAGCAGGAGATGGCTGGGAAGCGCAATAAAACGCCGAGGGCTTTGCAGTGTCCCTACGGCGATAAAATCCAAAAAATGTTTAAGGTGAAAAAAATTGGAAGTTAAAGTAGATTGCGTTTTCAATGAAGAGGCGCGAAGACTCCAGAAAATATGTAGCTTCTCCGGGCCCCACAACGCCCAGCCCGAGACCCTACCCTAGACTAACGGTTGCTGCTATGCAGGTCAGTAGCGGAAAATATACGGGGAATGAAAGGCCTTCGCATCTATTTAGTCCATAGTTAACTATGATATGCGGAAGAAGATGCAACGAAAAAGGCTGGATGTCCAGTTGTAGGCGGTGATCGATGGGCGGTTGCTGTGATGCCACCACGGGATCGGCTGCTGGAACTCGTGCTCGACGATCCCACCTCCGAACGTGCTCGCTGTTGTGCGGCTACCGTTTGAGAAGACGCAATTTTATTTTTCTCTGTTTTAAGGCCGTTTTGGTAGAAAATGGCTTGCTACTGCTCATCCCACATCGCTGAGCTTTTGCTGAAGAAGAACCAGGCTAGCTAGTACTCCTCCAAGCAGGCTTCGAGATGGGAAATTCAAATCACTGCCTTATGCAATGGGAATATTCCACTGCTTTAATGTTTCCTTCCCCCCAATGTTTGCACGGTGATCTAGTTTGCAGCAATAACTGTGGCAGTGAGTAGCATGTTGTTTTCCTTTCGCAATTTTGGTGTCATAGCATGAGTCATTGCAGAAGCTTCCCCTTGGTTTTGGTACGCTGCGTCCAAACGCTTGCACACACATTCAGAGGTAAAGCATGCAGCACAGGAAGCTTCTGTCAAGCTTCATTGCGTGCAGACGTGGGACTGGCTCGTACTACCAGCCGCAGCGGGGTGCGCTGCAACCCCACCTCTGGCTGCCTCCTCCTCGCAGCATCCAGGCCCTGGGCTCAACGCCCAGGATGCCTAGGGCCAGGGGAAGGTGGTCAGCTGCTTTTGGGAAACTCTTGCTTTATATCTTTACCTACATTGCGGCTCGCCTCTGTCCTAGCTAAAGGCCAGAGAACACGCGTTATACTTGGTAGCACCGCATGGTTCATCGGGGCAGGTGAGAGCCCGCGCCCAATCCCCACACGGGTGGCATCAAGCATCGCTGGAAAAACAGACAATCGCAAAATAAATAAAACTTACTTTCTCCATATATGTATCCAAAATAAAACCCATTTCCTTTCGTGGACAAAATATCTCCCAATTTCAGTGTTCTCTTCAGGAAAATGGAGGCTGACTATGAGCCACTCACAGAGGGGCCGTCAGCGCACGGTCTGGAACCACAGTAAGCGGAAGCCAGCTCTATTTCGGCATCCAATGCCGGAGAGAATGCATTCCCTCCAAAACCGATATAAGAGGAGTGCCTCCGGTTGTGCCGTCCTACGCGATATGATGGGCGGCGGGATGCAGACGCCGTAGAGGAGTTTCTTAGCTCCCTACACTTATACCTCCGCCTACAAGATGTTCCAGAAGAATCGCAATTACCCCTGGCCTCTTCCTTACTAGAAGGGGACGCCCGGCGATGGTGGCTACACGTATGCAAAACCCCCAGGTTCCCGGAGCGCATCAGGTCCATGCAGGCCTTCCAGGACGCGCCACCTTGCAGGTTTATTCCGAGGCCCTCAAGGGAGCAGGCTATGCCGGAATTGAGAAAGCCTAAACAGGGAAAACTGTCAATATGGCGCTACATTGAGAGACACCAGTCCTTGGTGAGCCGAAGTCCTATGATGGATGCAGAGCTCCTCTATAATTGGTTATTAGCGGGGCTGTCCCCCGGAGGGAGGCAATCAGTAACTGGCTGGGCCACGGACAGGGAAATGAGGTGCGAAAGAGTGGAACTCACAGACATTATGGAGTACCTCCGCAGAATGGAAAGAAAAAACGCCATATCCACAGCCTTAGCCGAAAAGAAAGAAAGCGGACATGGGAATGATCCGGATTTGGAACCAATGGATATTGGAGCTGTGAATACAAAGCCAGCTAAACAGGGGGCTAGATGCGGCTACCGACAGCAGACAGCGAACCCAACACCCACAAAGCGAGAGGGAGACTCTGAACGGCGCACCTGCTTCCTTTGCAATGAGTAGGGTCACGTATTTCGAGATTGCCGGCTTATGAAAAAGGCTAGGGAGCAATTAGAACCAAATCCCGAACAGCGCCGCCAAGGGAACAAACAGAGCATGCAGGGAAACCGGGCCCCCATGCAACGTGCGGCGCGGTGGGGGCCGCACGTGATAACGGCCGCACCTACAGACCCACCTCGAGTCAATTCAGTACTTGTACAAGTACGCGTAAAGGGACAGGAATTACTGGCCCTTCTGGATGCTGGATCCGAAGTGGATCTGATATCGGAGGCTGCAGCAAGGACTTGCAGCCTACCCGTCTACTCATTGGCGCGATATCTGAGGCTACTCTTCGCAGATGGCAAACATGGCATTCGCATCGGCAAAACTATGGGCGTAAAATGTTCCCTCAGTTCTAAAACATGGCAAATTCCAATGACTAGGGACTTATACGTTTGACCCGTTCACCACGACAGAATCCTAGGCATGCCGTGGGTGACCCAGTGGAAGGCGCAAATGCGTCCCGCTGATGCTCCCATAGAGGTCCTTCCGCCAGTCAGTGATGCGAGAATGCACCTCTCAGCGCTCCCAACGGCATTTGCATCATCTATGATCAGAGGTGTGGAGACTGTGTCCGAAGAAAAAGGGAGCGGTGTGGCTCCCACACACTGCAGAGGCACTGAAGAGAATGATAGAGATATGCATGTACTCCGTCGCGATGGTCTGGTAAAGACCGCAGTTTCGAGGGATTCGATCCATCTAACACCCGAGGAATGGGAGAAGTGGGCACAATTGAAAGAAGTGTTCTCAGGTGTATTCAATAACAAAGAGCTACCAGTGGGTAGGCCACCCGCTAGATGCTCTATGCACCGCATCGAAATCATCCCTGACTCAGCCCCAAGGTTCGTCCCAAGGTACAGGCGACCCCAACGCCTTGAAGAGGGAATTGAGCGGCAGGCGGACGAACTTCTAAAAATGGGCAAGGTTCAGCCTTCAACTAGCGGCTTTGGGCACAATCCGGTGCTGGTGAAGAAAAGGGACGGCGGGTGGAGCATGTACGTCGACTTCAAGCAGCTCAACAAAATTACAGTGAAGCAGAAGTATCCGATGCCCAGGGTCGACGAAAATCCCTAACCGCTTACAGGAGTCGGCGGTATACTCAGCATTTGTCTTGGGTTCGCTCGCATTGCTGCCCCTCTAACTGATCTTCTTCAGAAGGAGAAGCAGTTTATTTGGACGGAGAACGCGGAAAAAGCCGCCCGACGCCTCATCGGGCACCTAACACCATCCGCAGTACTCGTGCTCCCTGATTTGGATAAACCCTTCTTCCTTACGACCGATGCAAGTGACACAGCAGTCGGGATTATGCTCTCCCAACAGGCTACTGGATCGAAAAAGCACCAAATAATCACCTGCTACTCTCACTGTTTCACAAAGAGGGAGCAAAAGCATCCGGTGAGGGAAAAGGATGTTTACACGGTCTGGTGGGGTATTAAAAAGTGCCGGCATTACCTTTACAGCAGGCACTTCACGGTCCATACCGATCATCAATCACTGACGCACCTGACGAAGAGTTTTCAAGACTACGTAACAAAAGAGTTGTTCGGTGGCTTTCCCGGCCCACGCAGTATGATTTCACCGTCAAGTATATCAAGCGTGTCGCCAACGTCGTCGCCGACGCACTCTCCAGACGCCCTACAGGTCAGGCAGAATGTTCTGCTACAGCACAGTTTGGAAAGAAAGCGAGAGTCATCACAATGACTCTCGCTTTCTTTCCAAACTGTGTTCCTCTTATTCCTTAGATACTCATGCGGCTGCAGTCCTAGCTAAGCTCAACTATTCATTAATCATGTGTGGAAGCTCCGAAAAAAGCGTCATTACCGACAAGAATTCGAAGTTCTTTAGCGCCTTCTGGCGCAGCCTCATGCAACGGCTCAACATTGACCACAGCATGACCACCGCCAATCATCGGGAGGCAGACGGCCACACCGAACGGACTAACCGCACGGGGGGTGCAGCATTTGCGACTTTACACCCAACAGAACCCATCTAACTGGCTTGACTTTATTGCTTGTGGAGAATGGGTTTATAACACTACAGTACATTCGTCCACCCGCTACTCACCGGTGTCCCTGGTCTATACAGAAACTCCACTGGCTGACCCGCCGCTGGACTTCGCTGCCGGAAGCCAGCCCCGATCAACTGCGGCCTCTGATTTTAGCACACAGCTTGGAGCAGCGAGGGAATGCATGCGAAAGGCACAGGAACGCCAGGCCAGAAACTACGACAAAAGACGTTCTTCAGTTAGTTTCAACCAGGGCGACTTGGTTCTAGTCGATTCACACTCCCTCTGTAACGCGCAGGAGGGCGAGCAACCCCCAAAAGTTCTCGACACGATGGGTTGGACCGTTTACGGTGAGCTCTCGGGCCAACGCGTTGGCGTACATCATTGATTTAGCCTCAACGTGGAGATGCAACCACGCTATTGCCGTTGGCTTCATAAAACAGTTTCGGGAATTTCCGCGGTTCCCCTGCACTCTAGTGAGGAGACCGCAGCAACGTCCTCGCGAGCTTCCCCGCCTCGAGGACACAAAGATTCTTGAGGCGCCGATTAACGCCCGCAGATGCCATCGGAAAAATTGACGACCGTACATGCCATCGGAAAGCGAATACTAAGTAAAATGGTCAGGTACGCGTGATCCTGAGTGGCTTTTGGAGGATCGCTTACTGGAATTGATCCCCCCAGACCAGCTGCGCTCTGCTTGACCCTGCACCACCTACACCGGTGTATGCATGCAAGCAGGTGGCGGAAGCGGGCAACGGAGGCCAAATGTAGTGTACCTCTTGTCACGTCTCTGCAGATTTCTCTATTTTCCTACCCTGATGTCCCTGAAGGCTAACTACGTTGCCTCACTATTTTTCTTTTTCCTCTCGCGCACTGCGAGGTAGGGCGAGGGGGGGGGCATCCCAGACTTGCTGCACTTTTACCTACTGGGGCTGGACAGCACCTTTGGCGCTTTACTAGGGCTTTCCAGCGAGCCGCAGTCGGCGGCAACACGGCGCGGCGGGAGAGGAGGCCCGGCACGGGCAGCAACCAAAAAAANAAAAAAACCAACAGACTCATGCGCAAAGCAGCATTCATAGCAAAGCAGCTGCTTTAGCACGCCCAGACCTAGCGGCGGCGCCGGGAGCGGCGCCAGGCGCCACTACGGCCAGCCACGAGCTGAGGACCTGCTCGGGCAGGCATCGCAGCAGTTTCTCGCTGCAGGCTCGGCCATTCCTATTAATTTGCTCTTGCTTCCCACGTGCTCTACATGTAGAGTGACTGCCAGAGCGAGCCAGCGTGTTCAGCCGGTGCCGAGGCACCGTTGTTGCGGCGGGGTGGATGAGCGCATCATGACTCACCGTTCGAGTCAGATGAGGCAACCGGTGCGCGGATTGCGCCCATCCACAGATATGACTGGATATTGACAACATATACGGACCCTTTTAACCATTTTCCAACCGTATCATCGCCAGGACGGGCATGTACGAGGTGAACAGCAGCAGCCGTAGCCACACCATCCGGAGCCGCCGCCTGAAACGCAGCACTGTCAGGAGCCGCCGCTCCAGCAGCGGCCCCCCACGTTCAACATGGCCATCTGCGCGCGAGGGAGTGGGCCTTTTCGCTGATGGGGGGGGCAGATGTAGCATCAGGTAGCGCAGAAGGTTTCACTTGCTTTTGGTACGCTGCGTGTAAACGCTTGCAAACGTTCTACAAGTACATCCACAGGTAGAGCATGCAGCGCAGAAAGCTTTGGTGAAGCTTCCTTGCGTGCACGCGTGGGGCTGGCTTGTACTACCAACCGCAGCGGGCTGCGCTGCAACCCCACTTCTGGCTGCCTCCTCCTCGCAACACTCAGGCCCTGGGCTCAACGCCCAGGAGACCTAGGGCCAGGGGAAGGAGGTCAGCTGCTTTTGGGAAAATCTTGCTCTAAGTCTTTACCTACATTGCGGCTCGCCTCTGGCCGGATAAAGGCCAGAGAACAAGCGTTATAGGTGTCATAACTAGTGGGCGAGAGGCACTGAATTGAAGAATTAGTTAGAATGCTGAATATCGCAAAACAAACCTACTAGCTCGGAATGCTATGATAGAGCATAGAGTTGGGAACTCCTACGCCAATATGCCGTTGCCTGAGCGCAGTGAGAAAACTAATGTTAATGGTACGGTGACAATTCTACGATGGGCGTAAATCGACGATCTATGCCAATGCACTAACGCGAGAACGAACAGCGAAAGGCCCCGCTCTATACATGAAGAACATCGCAGGAAGCACCCCCTCACGAGCACCTCGAAGAATGAAAATCCACTAGAACCAGCTCACCTGGAGTACGCGCGACTGCTGAAAGCCCCTTGCCATGGTCTGACTTTCTTCTGCTTTCGTTGTGCATTCCCGTGTTGCAGCAAGCAGCGAAGTGAAGCCAATACCTGCGGGCCTAAACGGGGCTGGCTCCCCAGAGATAGCTTCATGGTAGGGTCAGGCTACAGTGCTTCGGTGTAAGATAGGCATGTGGAGCAGCAACACATCGAAGAGTGTAATATTGCATTATAAACCGATTCCGTGTGTGCTTACGGGCACATGCTAGGCCACTAACAGGGTATGTGTAACATGAGTTAGCGCAGAGTTAGCTGAGGAGCCTATTGACAGCTTTGGCATGCTGCGCGTAA